ACCAGGAGGATCGACAGGAATAAACATGTCTTAATGAAACCGCGGAGGTTGTATTTTGGTAATTTTCCAGTGTTGTTCGGGTTTTATTATTCTACTGTATCTCACTACTGCTGATTTTATTGGAATATGCCGCCAAAGATTCCAATGAAACCAGGCGGATCGGAAGGAATAAACATGTTCTGAGGAAACCGCGCTGTCCTGAGGAAACCGCGGCGGTTGTATTTTGGTAATTTTCCGGTGTTGTTCAGGTTTTATTATTCTGTCTCACGACTACTGCTTCGTGTAAATTGTAGAACGTGATCTGTATTATAGGAATATGCCACCATAATAACTCGTAAATAGAAACGCAGTACAACAAATGTCTGTTTCAACTTAAACAGCAATAATACAACAATTTTAACAATAAGTACTTTATATATTATCATGTATGCCCATCAGTAAGCTCGTGTATTCCCCCAGTTGTTGTGTTTGAGAAAATTCCTGTAAATTGATAATATTAATGAGTAAATATCAGGAAAGAAGTCTAAATCGAGCAGACAAAATTTCAGAAGGATCGATTCCGCAACCTGAGTAAAGTGATCCGTCATTGAAAATAAATCTGGATCGCATTCTGGAATGTTATCATGACTTGAAACGTTATTTTTCTGCTTTCCTGTATACAATACTACCTGTTAGTGAGTCATCTTTTATATACAAAAAAATACAGAACTTGATACTTTAGGTAACATTTACTTTTGCATCTATTGTTTTTTTCTCAGCACCCTTTTAGCCTTGCATTAGATATTCCTTTTGGCCGCATCTTCGTGGGATCATTCACATTTCGCTCTTTACTGGGTGTCTTCTTCTTCTTCTTCTTTGATTTTGACTTTTCTTTGATTTTGACTTTTCAGGATGGTGACTTTTCAGGATGGTTTCGTCCACTCATAGCGGTTTCGACATCGATTTTAATTTTATTAAATCCCTCAAACACTAGCTTCTCTGCAAGTTCATGGTCTCGTGATATGGTGCCAATCTGGTATGCAAATTTATGAATGTGGTTGAGATAGATGAGTCCACTTGCAGAATTTGGCAACATTTCTGAAACTCTTCGATTTACATAATCATAACTGTTATATATGTCCTTTTTCACATTAATAGTCCACCGAAGTAAAATATATTTATGAGGGATTTTTGTAATATTTTTGTGCTGCAGAACCCTTAGAGCGTGAGCACATAATAAACCCGCACAAGAGCGTGAGCACATAATAAACCCATCATTTTAAATTTTTTACAACTACACGTAATATCAAAATTACAATTGTCCACTTTAACAATCCAGGGCTTGGCTTTGTCCTTATTATCGAGAGTTCAGATATGAAATTCTGAATCCGTAGTACTGCAGCACTCCACAGCAAGACCACACAAGTCATGTAGAAACTGTGTTTCAAATATTGAGTATAACTTCCTAGTGTAAAGGGTAGAAACCTGTCTCAACATTGGACTTCTTTTAACGGTGGGAGAAATTGCAGACTGCTGGCATTTAAATTCTTCATCCTTTTCATTTCTTCTCCAATC